CCGGGCCGGGCCGGGCTTGACGTTCGGGCCGGACTCGGGCCTAGTTTTGCAGCCCGGAAGATAGTTCGGGCCGGGCTCGGGCTTCATTTTTTATGTATTTCGGGCCGGGCTTTCGGGCTTCGGGCCGGGCTTGCACGTGCGTACACTAAAAAACAGCGTTCGGGCCGGGCTTTCGGGCTTCGGGCTTGACTTCGGGCCGGGCTCGGGCTTGAAAACAGGGAGTATTTCGGGCTTCAGGCCGGGCTCGAAACCCGGTCCGGCCCGACGTTTGCCCGGGTTTACCTTGACCCAGGCCACGCGGTACCCTTTTGCTTCATACAATGTCTGGGACTAAAATGTTTGAGATTTGAAACAAATCTTCGGGAAATCAAAAAATGTTCACGGTTTTTGTAAGTTTGTGTATTAAAATACTAACTAAATTGAATTAAATTTTGACAATTCAAAAATGTTCATGAATGGAAAAATATCCTTAAAATTTAAAAACAGTTCCTGACTTACAAAATAGTTTATTCATTCAAAAAAATTCTCTAGGTCAATAAACGATCATGCATTTCAAAAAATGTTCGTTAAATATACAAAATGTCCTTGAATTTGAAAATTGGTTCACGAATTTGCAAAACAATGTTCCTCCATTCTAGAAATATTTGCCGATTCAAAAGAATTGTTAACAAAATGTCCACAACTTCAAAAAAATGCTTGCAAATAGTATAAAATGGTCATCAATTCGAAAAATGTTCTGGATTTTTGAAAATGTTCGAAAATTTGTAAATGTGTTCATGAAGTAAATAAATGTTTTCGATTTCAAATATGTTCATGAGTTTAGAAAAAAGTTCATCAGTTCACCAAATTGAGAGTGGCCATTGGAGATTCCCCTCAGTTCCTAAATATAAGACCTTTTAGAGATTTCAATATAGATTACATACGAAGCAAAATGAGTGAATCTACACTCTAAAATATGTCTATATATATCTGTATGCAGTCCGTATTGAAATCTCAAAAGGTCTTATATTTAGAAACGGGGGGAGTATTATTTTATTCTCCCGTTGCAATGCACGATCATTTTGCTAGTATATTATTAAAACGATATAAAATTAATGGTTAAGATGCATCAATGTTAAATTATGAGATTTCAGCGGCTTAGATTCAATATGAGACTTAACATAGATCTCATCTACGCTTCCATAAAAAAAATACAAGACATGCTTAAACCTCCCGCGCCGGATTTCAATCAGGAGAAATAAAGGCACGCACGGCCCTGAGTCTTGGTCACCCACGTTGTAGTCTTGCTCGCGCATGCTGCATTATTTCTTTACCTAATGAATCACTCCAAATGTCCTAAATAAGAAAACATAATAGTATGTGCCTGCAGGTTAAACAAAAATAGAGCATAGATGCGCGACAGAACATGCATGTATGTTAATTGTCTAACGTATATTACCGGCAAAAATAATTGAAGACTGGTGTACAGTTAAAATTCACAAATGGGTCTAGCCGGCTTTATGGATCCCACTTAAGAAAAACTTATTTGTTGTTAAAAAATCTGAACAATTATTTTGTGTACACATGTAGTTGTTCGTACATGAAGAATTTTACAAATAAATATTTTTCTATGATCTAAAACATGAAACAATGTGACCGCACAATCGACATACTATTTACTATTAGGGATTGACATATTCATTTCTTTTGGAATTCCTAATTAAACATATTAACGATAAAATTACAGAACTCATTTTTTATCAATTTCCTGAAATATACAAATTTAATTATTATTTTTATATTTGAAAATTCTAGACCCACTATATGTGTATATAGATGTTCTCGAACTTCACATATGTTTTTCTCTTTCCGTTCTTTCCAAAATTTCTGGAACTCTAAATATGTTTTTTAAAATTCAAAAGTTACGGGCCTGCATGATTTTAGCAGCGTGGAAAGGCATAATATGTAATCTAGATTCACAAATGAATTTAATTAGCAGTGTTTTTTCCAAAAGTTGAAAAGCGTGCATTAACATATCAAGTGAGACTATATCCGATGGTCATGTCTAAAATTGTATAGACCAACCAACTGAAAGAAACCAAATGCTTAACTGATGATAGTCTGTTAAGTTTTTTTTCTAATCATGGAAAAACTTTTAGTTATGTACTATGAGCTGCATGGATCACGGTGGATTCCCATTTCAATATAATCTAATTTGAAAAACAAAACAAAACACGGTAAGCTGTTAGGTAAAGGCAACAAAAGTTTACACAATATTTAGTGTGCTAGAGTGTGCTACTAGTCGAAGATTTCATGGATATACACGTCGACTGCTTCTGGCCATAACCACATGCGAATAAATCACCTTCAAGTTGAACATGACATAGTTCCGAAACTACACAATAGTTCAGATAGCTTCAAGTTAAACATGACATAGTTCCAAATTTGACAAAAGAATAGATAGGTTCAGGTTCAACCTAGTGGCGCGCTGGATTGTTTAGCCCTACGACATTCCGGTTGAAAATCACGCAGTTGCAATTATCCATTAACTATATGGCAAACACATTTGGAAGTGTTACATTGAGGCGAAACAAAAGTAGGCACACTTTGACTGAAACATAGTACTGACGAAAGAACAACAACCGAACCTGAAGAACAGAGATACAGAACAGGGCTCGTTCCTGTTGAGCTAGAGCTTCTTGAGATACAGAAGAGCGCTTGTTCCCCAACTGCACATCATGGCTTCCGGGCAGCCAGAAGGAGCCCAACATCGCAGGAGGTGCGGAGCGGGTAAATGACTTGATTGACCCTGCTTCAGGTACTTGGGACGAGCAGCAATCACATCAATTTAATCCAATTGATGCAAAAAAGGATCATCGATTTTGAATCCAATTGATGCAAGTACCCTGTTAATGTGCGACATCCAGGTATCAAGACCCCACTTAATGCAGGTGTATAAAAACTACAGGCTATCTCAAGATAGCCTCAAGGATCATACAGCGCTATCTCAAGAGCCTTATCCTCCAAACAAGATCAGCCTCACAGCATCATTTGACACAAACATGATAACTCCATACCCTTGGAACCATACACCGCAACAAAATAGTTGCGCCCAGGAACAGCCGTAGAGCGTGGACAGCAACAAATAAAAAGACCCAATACGGCAATATATAAGGTAGATTTCATTGCGCTGACAAAACGATCTTAAAGTGTACCAAAACTCAAAAGCAATTCAACATTACTGGTGGCACAGTGTGCCCCCCTGGACATAGTGAACTTGAATATAACAGCAACACCTCAGTCTACTGGACTAAAAACAGACACAGAACACATGATGATGATAAATCAGGTGTTTGTCGCCCTGGTGAAGATCTGCTGGCTGGAGTGGATTGAGACCATCCTGATGAGCCCCCTCTCCATCAGGTCCTTGATAGCCCTGCGAGCCAGAGACCCGTTGATCTGCAGGTAGATAGACACAGGCCGAGTGAGATCATCAGGTTTGTGGTGTGCATAAATGTACATGCCTGAAGAGCTCGGTTTATTAAATTGAGTGAGATAACAAACAGGAAGCGCAGACATACATGCAAGGGGGAATTGCTAAACTCTTGCCGTGCACACATCAATAGTTCTAATACATGTTAACAATTCATAGACCAACAACATATATGTTTCGTCCCATGATCCTACAGTTGCAATCTAATAATATGGCATGTAGATGCAGGCGCAGCCGTGGACAGCAAAATGCGGTGACAAGTTACTGAAGCATTCAACAGCATCGACCAACCAAATTACCTCCATGAATCAACGTTTAACTCTACGAATCAATGGTGATGTCAAATTACACTAAACATGGGTACACTGCACATGTCAAAATCAGATAGTGCAATTTCTATGACGCTATGCAATTGGCACACCGAGCAAAATCTGAGGATGCACTAATCTGAGCATCACACACACTGCACAAAAACTATCAGCACACATGGAGCAGCCAAAACCGGCATCAATTTATAACACAATCATATACTAGTATGTTCATGCTCTTGTTCAGATTACTACCGACTGACCCCAAAACAGTGAATCACATCAAAGAACTTCACCAGGAGCCATGGCGCATCACACACATATCCTACAATCCCGAGATCTCAGTTCTCACGGGAAGAAAGCAAGCA